GGGGGGGGGGGTCATCCTTTTTTATATTATATATATATATGTAAATATTTGAAGCTAAAAAACAATAGTAACAACTTTTCTTGGGGGGGGGCATAGCCTTATAGCCCCGCTGTAAGCCCCCTGTCATGTTGAATCCTCCACCTGTCTATGTAACTGTAATTATTTGTTTTTCACAATTCAAGATTTTTAGATCGGAACAAAATACAATTTTAAACAAATATCGGAGGAAAGATTAAAGTAGAAAAAGATGGGGAAATAAGGTTGAATAAAACTATTGAAGGTCCCGGGGGAAAAATATATTTAATTAGATTGCGCGAATTTGCATGATTCACCTAGTTAATAATTCCCCTTAATAATAGCAGTAAAGCTTAGACTATTTGATCTATATTGTTACTGTATACTAATACAATACACATGTTATTTAACATTTAGAGACAGATACAGTGATAACCAGAACTGTGGAATAGGAAGACGACATTAAGGCGATAGTGACGTGCATTTGATGTTCTTACAAAGCAAATAGCTATACTAGTAAATTATTGGATCACTTATTATGTGAAATGGGTCTGTTTACACTGCACAATTGCTGTGACACATGTTCATTGGACTATTTAAAGCCATAACTTGAGTCTAAAAGTCGACATCCTATTCCAGAGTTTTCTGGTTATCACTGTACATACAGTAAGCGCTATTTCAAATGACTGTGTTATTCACGCGTCACAATGGTACCACTTCTCTTTATCAATAATAAAGATATTTATGCTTTTCTGTTTGAAAAGTGTAGATTTCTAAAAATCTCCTTTCCTTTGCTTTAAATTTGCAATTGTAGAGAATTCACAATTTATCATTCAATCTTGAGAAAACTTCAACATATTTCTCACATTGCTATCACAATTTTAAAACCGAAATTGTTGACAATTTCTGCTGTAAACCAGAAATTTAATGTGTTTTTAGTGAATTTTGTTATACTTATACTGTCACAGTGTCAAATACCATGGAATTTTACAATTGCTAAAATTGTAGTTCAAATATCAATTTAATAAGTAAAAAGGGTTTAATGCACAATAATTTGTTGTGTCTAATGTTCATTGAACCATTTAAATCTGTTAAGTTTTAAACTCGTCTTTGTTTTCTATAAGATTATAAAATAAAAAATAATATTTTTACCTTTCAGATAAAATGAAGAAAAAAATGTGATTTTCAATTTGAAAAATTCATCAACATGAGGTATAGACACCATCAAACAAGTATCATTAAAAAGTTAAAAACAAACCAAACAAATTATTTTTAATAAAAAACTGGAGAGAGGCAAAAAAAAGTATAGAACTGATGGTAGAAATGATGAACTCATAAATTTGAAATTGAAAAAATATGTTTGTCGTTTCAGAAAGCATAGAATGTAAAAAAGACTTTAAAAAATCCGTTCAGCCGTCTACGCAGTCTCATCCTTTGTGGGTAACCCTGTAGGAAGGATAGGTTTTATTTTACATTCTACTGTGATGTATCAGGACCACCTTGATTTACAACTAGCTTGGGAACCCAGCTTTACCTGAAAACTAGTTTTTCTTTAAAAAAAACACTCAATTCTTAGAATTTTTAAGCCAAGAATATTGCCGTGGTTCTACAAATTTTGAGACAACTCGGTCAAGAGGTTTATAAGGTTAAATGATCGCGCGGGAATCCAAAAAAACAGACAGAGATTACTCTACTGTATATATAGATATTTGAAAACAGATTTTTGTAATAGATGACAACGTAGAATTTGTACACTCTCAGTACAGCTGTAATCTGACGTCACAAGTGTCAACTTAGTTTTTGTGTACGACAAAGTTATCAACAATGGTGATAGTTTTAAAATAAAGTGCCTTTCTTACAGTAAAATAATTGCAATTATATGTTTTCTTTATTCTCTTTTTATACACTTTATTATTGAATCTTGGAAAGCCTGTCAACTAATGTGAGAAAATTTCGTTATAATCTTTATATTTGACACTTGTGACGTCGTGTATAATTATTCCATTTCTCTGTTGACACCTATTGTACTTGATAATCTATTTGCTCTACTGTATATAAAGATATTTGTTATTGTTTACAATCTAACTAAATGTAATGGGGAAGGGGGGGGGGGTGAAGCGCATATTTGTGACAATACGTTTTTATGTGATTTTTACCTACCGTTGTTCAGTTTGAAGTTAAATATTCTTAATTCAACAATAAAAAGTTCAAAGCAAAACATATTGATCCGCAAAATGAAACCTGCCATGCACACACAGCTAAATAAAAAATGAAAAAAGTGGGTTAAAAACTTGAAAGTTGGATGCCAAACAAATTCTTCAGATTAAGATAAAAATTGAAAATCTTATCTTGTTGCGTGTAAACCAAATCTTTCATTTCATGGTGTTTTGTTCTGGTTTGCGGCCATCTTGGTTTTTGCGGTTTTTAGAGGAACAACTTTCGGTAAATTAAGTTTGCTGAAAATGAAGCAAAAAACTTGAAATGTGTGGTGATTAAAATCTTTAATTACTGTAACAATAAGTTTTTGTTTCGAGATTTTATTCAAAAGTTGGCAAAATATTCTCTCCACCCTGGCATTGTAAGTAAACCCTGAGGCCAGTTTTATTCCCGCACGCACGCGTGCACCCCCACAAACGCGCACAAAACCCCCTTCCAATAACCACTCAAGCCCCCTCCTCCCCCCCCCCGGTGTACCGTGACGTAATTGCTCAGAAATGATTCATTCATTCACCTGTTGAATTATATTTTGATTATATACTGTTTGATTGACCTTTACCAAAAACATAATTTGATGTGTGTAACCAATTGTATTCAGTATCATTAACTAACTTAGGGCAAACCACTCTAAACAACCTACCCTGGTTAGGCGGGTCCAAACTGCATAGTAAATTGTGATTGCTTATTTGTAATATCTCATGCTTTGTAGTTGAATAAAAATATGAAATGATTATATTCCTCAACATATAACGGTGAAAATAGCGGATTCAAATACAAATTGCGGATTCTTAAAAAAATGGAGGTTTTAAATAAAAAATGGCGTACTCAAACAAAAGTTAGTGGATTCTCATAAAAAATGGCAAATTCCAAAAAAATGGCTATCCTCTTGTTGATGATAAAGTGTACTACAGTTTCGGGAAGAAACACTAAAAAAATCAATCAGAGTCGTGCTTATATGTTTGTTTACATTTCTTCCAGAATCTGCAGTACATTAAGATAATGGTTTAAGGTTTCCTGATGCAAATATCATGAAGCAAGTCTATACTTTTATTATTGCAAAGCTTACACAAATTTCAAAACTTTTAAATAAAAGATTTTTTTCCGTTTGTTTATGGGGGGGGGGATATTGTATAGCTTTTTTCAGCGGAGTTGAAAGGTTAAAGTTTGTTTATTTATTTAAACCTTCATCAGGTAACGTCTTTTCAATAACAAAATGAAAGTTTGCCTAAGAGAGCTTTAAAACTTTAATCACTGTTTAATAGACACTACTTTGTTCGAAATAAAATAAGAATATTATACTTTTTCTCCTTTCCCCACAACTTTCCTGATTAGAAAAGAAAATAAAAGAAAAGAAAAGAAAAGAAACAGCCAATAGGGAATTTAAGTTTTATGCTAAACATTAATAAAAGAGGAAAAATAAACATGATAAAAAGATCTGTAGAAAATATATTCTAAAAAATTTATTTATGAAACTATAGTGTACTTTATCATTATTACTCACTTCATCGTGAATTTCGTAATGAACGTGCTATAAAGTTATCTTCATGCTTTAAAGTTAAATTAGCTGTACATTATAACACGTGTGCTATAAAGTTTTGATTGGTTCCCGGATTTTCTCCAAAAAATTTAGGATATGTCAAAAATATGTTTTTTTTCAATTGAAATAAAAATAAAATTGAAATCAACTTTATATTTTATTTCAAAGTCTATTTGATCTAGAAACAGCCATTGAAATAAGACAAGAACCCAAACGTTTCATAAAATTACCTTTAACACTATTATTTTGGCACGACGTGCTATAAAGTTTTTGGACTTAAATTTTCTCTATATCTCGAAGGTTTTTGTTTTTTTTGATTATATTTTGTACCTAGCTAAAGTTTGGGACAAATTTAAATCTAAAAAGACTTGAACCTTCTCGATAGAGGGAAAATTACTGTCCAAAAACTTTCTAACTCTGCAAACCAAAATAACAGTGTTATAAATAGTTATTACGAGTTATCTTAAATTTTTGATTTGTATAACAATTATATTTCTATAATGTATCTTTAAAAGAGAATAAAACCAGCATTACAATCAAACCGAGATTCAATCCGATATACTGAGTTTTATAATTTCAGTTTTTAAGTTTTGCACCCTGGAATTTGGTTGCACCTGTAGCCTGCATTCTCTGCATGCTTGTTAATCTTGGTTTATTTTGATCAGTAATATGAGGACTATCAGAACTGCGGTTATTTTCTATCAAAATCCCTCTAATTAGACTTGTATATAGTTTACCCCCCCCCCCTCCCCCCGGGGTTGTACACAACACGAAATCAGTTGGAGTAGGACCACTGATGAGTTTTGGTGGCTGGTTTCTGAATCACCATAGTTCCTCTAGTTCTAGGAAGGAATATCAATTTTGTAAAAAGATTTAAAAACTGGTCACGTAATATACTTCTTCTCTTGTTAAATGGGAAAACTGAAATTTAAAGATTTTATGAAGATTTGGTTCGAGTCCCTTTCTTTAAAGGGACTGTTAACGTTATTTCAAGCGAACTTTAATCAATGAATGACATGCCTGGTTCACAACGGTACCCTTTAACACTATAGCTGAGTAACAATGAGGATGATATCGCCATTTTTCTATATTTAAAAAATATTTCAATTACTTTCATTGTTACTGCTGCAGAAATCCACAGGTTACGTCATAGTTAAGTGAGATACAAAAACCATCTCTATCATGTTTGGTCTTATCCAAGTCTACATGGTATCGGTGTGAATCAAGCATACGTTACCCTTTCCATGTAGGCTCACTTTAATTTACACCGCCATTCCCTTTACAATTAGAACTATACACATTAAACAATTGTTCTGTTGAAACTTTATTTATGAAGAAAAAAAAAATATATTTAATTTCTCTCTAAAATGTAATTTTGAAACGCAGATGAGCATGTACATGGCCAAGATTTGGCTCAAACAAGGTTTCATTTCTTCGGTCTTCTGATTAAGATTTAGAAAAATTTCTTAAGGAAACATTACTTTGAAGTTTTTCTGCGTTTCTTGCTTCATATTCTTCTCTTTTATAATCTTTTTCTTTCTTATATCATTCCTTTTTATTCTCTTTTATTGTCTTTTTCTTTCTTATCCTATTCCCTATTATTCTCTCTTATTATCTTTTTCTTTCTTGTCCTATTCTCTATTATTCTTTTTTATTGTCTTTTTCTTTATTATCCTATTCCCTATTATTCTCTTTTACTATCTTTTTCTTTCTTATCATATTCTCTATTATTCTTTTTTAATATCTTTTTCTTTCTTATCCTATTCTCTATTATTCTTTTTTTTATAATCTTTTTCTTTCTTATCCTATTCCCTATTATTCTCTTTTATTATCTTTTTCTTTCTTATCCTATTCCCTATTATTCTTTTTTTTAGTATCTTTTACTTTCTTATTCTTTTTCCTATTATCTTTTATTATCTTTTTCTTCCTTTTCCTATTTCTTTTTCCTTTCTTTTATACTTCTTTTCTTTATATCAGATTTCTTATTTTTCTCTCTTCTATACTTTTTTTCTTTTTTTTCTTCTCATTTTTTTTTGTCTACTTTACTCTTTTATTTTCTTTTTGTTGTTTGGGCCTTTACAATTCCTCTTATTCTTTTATTACACTCTTTTCATACATTATGCTAATTATTTTTTTTAATTGATTAACCAATTATCACTGTATTTCTATCCAATAAAATGTGCGTCAGTTCTAGATTAATTACGCCGGAATGCGTATAAATTACTCTCAAGTTACAGCACTGCTGGTGTAAATGACAGTGTTCTGATTTTTGAAACGGTTGGGTGGTTTTACTCCCCCTCCCCTCTACTCCCCTCCCCTCCCCTCTCCTCCCCTCCCCTCCCCTCTCCTCCCCTCCCCTGAACCCCTCAGTACCCACCAATCCCTCGTACAAATATCTTATAAAACCATTGATATCCAAAACCAGTGAAATCAAATTTTGTTGTGCAGAATTTCTGCACATTGATGATTCAAGTCAACTCCTGCTAAAAATTGCACAAATTTAGGTTTGCCAATAGTTTTGATACAGCTAGAAATATTTGATTGCGGAAAGCATGCAAATATCATTTAGTTCAGTCCTTGCACAATCCAATTGTTTTATCATAAATTGATAGTTTTTATCAGTCATTCGTTGCAACAAGATTTTTATTACTTTTTACAAAATATTTTTCTTTCAATTTAGATCAAATAATATTTAAGTAAACAGAAAGTCGTCTTCTTTAAATCTTTAAAACGTAATTTTGATTTTAAAATTAGTTTTCCTGAGAATTATGGTTCAGAAAATTTGCATTACAGATTAAATTTAATCAACTTTTTGGGAGAACTTTAAAAACATTTAAACAATTTTAGTTTGTGAATATGTTTATTATTTGAAAAAGGAGCTGAAAACTAGTGACAAAGTTCAATTTCCTAATCCCTTTATCTTTGCAACTTATTGTGTGGGCCTTTCATATTTTAAACTGTAAAATTTGCTAGAGCTAAAAGTCAGAATACGAAATATTAAAGATTTACTTCAACAATAACGGGAACACTTTATGTTTGAGGCAATTGTTAATAAATATTACCGATTTTTATGAAAACAGCCACACTCGAGATGGAATTTAAAGAATTTGAGCCGCGGTTTAAATCCGAAAAAACCCGGTTTAAATTAAGGGCCGGCTTAAATCTTGAAACGTTTGATACAATTTTAAGTGGAACCAACCATATAGAAACCGCGGCTTAAATTTAAACCGTCGCTCAAATTCTTTAAATTCGGCCACAGAATACCTTATTGTCAGTTTTATCAATATTAAAACGCATTTAATTATTTTTTTCTTTGGTTCAAATTATTAAGGAAGTATTATCAGTTATAGTCAACAATAAATTCTTCACATTTGGTTCATAAAATCGTCGCATATATGAATACAATAAAGAAGAATTTCTATTTCAAGTTTTTAAACAGCATGGATAAATTTAACATGAAAACAAGGTGAAGTTGTCTATTAACAGCTTCACCTTGTTTGCTTGTAAACTATAAGGTTGCGAAGATAAGGCCAAGAAAATTATAATTTGAGGCTATAGTAATGAATAATTTATTTTGGGTTTGACTTTTAACTTTTTCTTGTCCAAAGGGATTGTAAGCGTAATATCAAGGGTCCCTCAAGCAAAGATGATAATGCTCGATTTACAACGGTACCATAAAAACCGTTATCTGATTCAATATGAAAATTCAATGTTTTTTTGTTTTTGGAAACTGTTTATTTTGATTTGTGGTTTCTCTAAAGCATGACTTGCGCATTTCTTGCTTAAAGGAGAGACTCGAGAAATTATATGGATTAAACACTTTTCGAGTCAAATAAACGATATTTTTGATCAGATTAAGGTCTCAAGGGTACCGTTGTACGTCGGGCATTGTCATCATTACCTAGAGGTTCACGCATACAGTCCCATTAAATTGGATTTGCTATAAACATGAACTATTGGGTTGAAGATGGGTTTAATGGAGTGCAGAGAATGAGGAGAGGAGAAGAGGAAGAACGGAGAGTAGACAATCCAAGATGTCGAGTAGACCAGAGAAGGAGAGGGGAGAGAAATCAGAGAGACTTGAACGCGGGGACCGTGAGCGGAACAGTCGGAGCCGACGGGAGAGCAAGGCGGATAACGGCGAGGGGGAGAAGGCGGAGAAGCCGGAGAAGGTTACAGTGAGCCGTCCGGGGACGGCCAAACCGCCCGCAGAACTGGTCGATGTTACTCCGGGAAAAAGTTTTAGCAGAAGGTAACATTTTCATTTTGGGATTTGAAATCTGATAAATCTAATAATCAACTCAATTTAAACCACAATTTCCAATCCAAGTTTCTTTTAAAACTAATGGTGTAAAAATGACTATTTGATCATATCGGTATCAATGGTCTACTCATTTTAAGTATTTTAAGTAGATATGACATTTTGTAAAAATAAAAAAAGACTTTTTGAAATCCAAAAGAGAAATCAGAAATCCTTAGCATTGCTTTCCGCTATTAATGTATAAAAGTTTACGCTTAAAACAATTAAAACTATAAGTTAAAAATGCTCCCGCTGTATGAATGCAATCCATTGTGCATTTTCTGCATTGTTCAGCAAAAAAAAACTAGTGCGTAATGCAAATATTTAATTTGAATCCGTGTCGCCAAACAAATAGATTTTTAGGCTGTGTGTCAGAAAACCGCACGCAATTATTGCGTGCAGTTCACTTTTGTAAGAAGGGTTGCGTAGCTAAATGTTTTCTAAGTTTTAAAAAAAGTGTAAAAACAGAAAATATAGAATACATAAAATCGCACTTGGTTTACTTATAATAAGCACTTTATTCTATAATTATCACAATTATTAACAATTTTGTCGGACACAAAAACTAAGTTGACACTTGTGACGTCAGAATACAGCTGTACCGAGAGTGTACAACTTCTACGTTGCCATCTATTGAACTAGAACCTATCTATTTGATTATACCTTGAATGAAAAAATAAAAACATTTAAAATTTATTAAATCATTCTGAACAAAAAGCAAAACTATGAAAAGTGGGTTTGCGAAAACAAAATTTGTTAAGAACGTAAGTAAGGGTGAGGATTATATTATTATACAATAAACGAGTTTTATATTAAGCTAAATTATTTTAAATTTATTACGCTAAATGATTTTAATTTATCTACAGAAATGTTTAATTTTCAATTAAGGAAATGCCATTTCTATTTTTGATAATCATTTTTTAAAAGCTAACCATAATTAAAATTTAGAATTCTATTGCAATCTAAAACTAAATCAATTAAAATAAATGATCAGTTTCAAATAAATGGTGTTATAAGAAAAATTTCAAGTTTTAAACAATCTAAGAGTTCTTTTTAACAATTTACAAATCAGTTTTTCATAAATAAATTTTTTCATTTGACCAGCGTTGAAATAAATCCAAACTCAAACATCTATTTAAAAAAATAACTTATATTTATTACATATATTTCTTAAATTTTTAGTATAACAGTTATCAGAATCTAATTGTTATTGTTATTGTTATTGTTACAGCTAATTAAATTCAAAATTTTTCATTTGTCAAGCACAGAAGTATAGAAGTGAAAAATAATAGTTTAAGTTGATTTTAAAATTCCATTTTTATGATATTTGTTCTGGCATTTTTGGTGCAAAAGTATCTTGAGCAATGAGCAACCTTCAAATCCTTTTTTTCTCATTTTCCCCATAAAAAGCTTAAAGGGACTGTTCGCGAGATTTCAATGGACATTGCATGCAAAGTTCACAATGCCCGATGCACAATTGGTACCCTTCTTTGTCTTATCAAGTATGAATTAGATGTCAATGTTTATAGTTTTCATAACTGATCATTTTCAAATGCATTTTTTTTACAAAAGTGAAATGCGCATTTCTACTGCAGGACAGCATGTAAAAGTTATCAGAAATAAGCAATTTTAAACCTTGGAATATGACAATTTTATCCATATTATTGAACAAATAAAGGTTTCAACTTTTAAGGGTACCCTTGTGAATCAGACATTGCCATCTTTACATGAAGGCTCATTTGAAAATACGCTTACAGTCCCTTAAGAAATCTCATACACTACAAACTAATTAACCATTAATGAATCCATTGTTACTTTTGTCAGACTTTATTAATCTGTGGAAATAAAGCAGAAACAGTTTTAAAGACACAATTTCAAGCAGCAAAATAGATTCCAAGATTAGTGTTTGCAATATTCTGAAGTATCTCTTCAGCAACAGTGTGCAATGCCACATCTGCAAGCTGAAGCACGCTGACCAGCCTGCCTAAACTTGCTCGTGCATCCTGCTGCTTTTTCCAAGTGTTCAAACATTGCTTGAGAGCTTCCAATGTGTCCACATCTTTAAACTCCTGATCAATTTCCAGGTGTAACAGGATAGATTTCATCTGGGCATGACTCAATTGATCCGTCCTGGCAAGGTTGAATAATGGTTCCATGTTGCTTACCCGACCCTTCTTTGGAGCATCCAAGGGAATGTTTTCACAGTTCATCAACTCCCAGTTCTCCTGTTTTCTCTCATACTTTACAATCTCCTTGTTTATCCGTCCAATGTTGTAAAGGCTCAATGTGGTTTGAACAACAGCCTTGTCTGTATCCTCAATGACGATGTCTAGGTAGTCCTTGATGTTCCCTATTTTAAGCTGGCTTAGGCAATAATAACTATGATCCTTTAGGGTCAAATTTCCACTTACATGCCTTTCTATCATCTCAAGAATATGGAGTTGATGTGCAACACCACGCTTCAAAACAACCTGCTTTTCATATCCACACTTTCTTGCCTTTTTTGGAAGGACTCTGTTGAAGTATTTTGAACCTCCAACAACTGTTGCCAGATAAAGGCTGTTGCATAGAGTAACCGGTACAATACTGCATTTAACAGGAAGATCATCCTTAGAAACAAGAACTGCCTTAACACTACTGAAACCAAACTCATAGACAAAGAAACCCATATCAGCCGACATGGATTCCAGGGGTATCAGCTCAGGAGTATCATATCTAAATACTGCTACTTTTAACCCTGATTGGAGATCAGATGATAGAGTTGTAATCCCATTTATAAAGTGACTGAAGCCAACCATGCCAGCCTCTATGTTATCTTTTGAAAGGACTGCCGGATAGCTATAAACTTTGTATCCAGACAATTTAGACAGCAGCTCTTGGTCTGGCTGGTTGTTATTGTTAGCATAAATGGGATCATTTTCATTATCCTCAGAGTCAACGGATGAGCTTGAACTAGAACTCAGTTTGGGCCTTAGGTTCCTAGCCTTGAAAGATTGCATATCATTGATGTTAGCTTTTGCCACAGGTATGACCAGTTTTGGTTCCTCGTTGCTAAAATTAGTTTCTTCCTTTGGAACTGGAGAGGGGAAAAAACATTCAATCACAACTGGTTCTTCATGTTCTTTTGATTTCTCTGGAGAAACCTTTTCATCCTCAGAGGGTTCTGCACTAGAAACAGGGGATAAATGACCTGATCCTTGAGACTTGTACTCTCTTAATATTGACATGTATTCATCCTCATCCAGAATGTCTTCCTCTCCAATAGAAATTCTATTCACCTCACTAGATTCTTTTAGAGGAATAACTGGCTTTTTAACCTCCTCAACAATAACATGCCTCAGCTCATCCTTTTTCCGAACAACCTCTTTCATAATTGATTCGGATTCCTGATTTAGTACAGTTGTTTCATGAATAACTTCATTGATCTTGTATCCGCCAAACTTGCCAGAATTAAGAACATGCATGACCGATGAGTCAGTTGATACTTTCCTTTTCTTTGGAGTTTTCTTAATCTGAGCTAGGGCACCCTCAACAGTTTGCTTGCCTGATCCATCAAAAGATTTACCTACTGACATAAATGCTTGGCTGTAAACCTCGGAATTACTTTGAGCTGAAAACGGAGAATCATCCAGCGAGGACTGAGCGCTATTTGAAAACTGTAGACAGGCTTGAGCTACTTTATTTGGACTATCAAGCTCGGAAAAGCTCCCCTCAAACTCACTCATGAATGATTGCCTACTGGATGAAGAAAAACGAACTTCTTCTGTGCTTGAAGTGCTTTGAGCACTGTATCTGCTGCTTGTTATAGATGAAAATGATTGCTGGACTGAGCTGGAAGATGACATTCTAACAGAAGATGCTTCTTGCACAAGACCAGGCATGGAAAGAACAAGAGATGATGCTGATACTGGATGCTCTTTGGCAAATGTGATCTCTTCCTCATTTGGAACAGCTAATGATAATGCATCAATAGCCTTAGGTTCATCCAAGACTGATTTATCAGATGTCCTTACACCTGGAGTCTCCTGGGTGGTGGTTTTATTTCGTTCTTTTTGAGACGGTCTTCTATTTTTCTTAGGCATTCTCTTGCCAAGAGCGGATGCTAGACTGCGGAGGGGCTGAATCTTTATGACTCTTTATTTACCGTTTTCTAGAAAAGTAAACTGTGCACTAGTCCTCTTATCTTTCTTTAAAGTATTTAGGAGTTAATACCTATATATTTCTGATAAGAATTATTTCTAATCTTCACAGCAATAAATCATTAAAACACAAGCAAGCCGCACATTTAAAATATTTCCTTTCCAAATTAGAACAAAATTATTTCTATCTTTATTCCGTAATAAAGCTCAAAAATTTATAATTTATTTAACTTTTTAAAGATTTTAAGTTCAAATTAGAACTCCATTTAACAAGGGACCGATTCACAACGGCCCCCCTGAAAGCTTAATATCATTCTAGTATGCCGAGTCCATTAGCGCCTGATCCAATCAGAGTTCAGTCATGTGTTTGTTGTCTATTCTGAACCAATAGAATTGAGGTAACATCTATCTTTCTATCTATCTCATTATCCAATCAGAGTTGTGAATCCTTCAATTGGCGCTATCAGTAAATGGAAATATTTACTTCTACTGAAATATATCTGAACTATCTGAAAGATATTTTCGTTTATCTAGCTTAAAAAATATTGAATTATTAAACTTGTTTGTATTGTTTCGTATCAAAAAATCACTCTTTCGAGGAACCAAAATAGAAGATTTTTGAAGAGAAGAACAAAGCTTTTAATAGTACTGGTGTGAACTGTACATGCCACTCTATACTATACTGATACAGCCTCTTTAATGGCTGTAATCATCAATAATTGTTGAATGTTTTTATGTCATATAATATAAATTTCTAAACCCAAAACATTTTTTATTTTTTTATTTTGATAAAAGATGAGTTGTGATTTGGATTGTTTCTCTAATTTTTTGTTGTTGAAAAACCAGCAAACGTATTACAAAAGGAACCTTTATAGGTTATAGTAACGATAGAAAAAGACGACCTTAGATTTTTTTGTCAATCACTTTCCTTTAATTAATTATTAAGATAATTAAGATAATCAATTAATAATAATGATGAAATACTAATTATTAAATAATTCTACTGTAAACCACAATTAATCATCTCGTTAAATACGGTTAATTGAAGAACAAGGGAGACGGGGCTTAAACTTAAACTGAAAGGGAGTGTTTTCTCCAATTCAGCTTTACCAACCCTGTAATTTTTCGCGAACACTCTATTTAAAAATAAGTCTTTTAACAAATGTATTTAAATCTTTTTAATTTTCGAATTGGTATTTTAACATTGCATAACATGATCGAAAATTACCAAATTTGATAATAACATTTTTTCTTTAAAAACAGTTTTACTTAGGCACACTTTTTTAACCCTTATATTTGTCCATGAGCGCGGAACCTTTCTGCAGAGTTAATCTTGAACGCTAGACCTCGATATCCAATATGGGTACTTTCAAATTAGAGGATAAATATCTTAATAGTTTTATTTGAGTCGTCTTCCTATTCCACAGTTTTATGGATCCCTGTGTACAATGTACACATGGATATTGGATACATAGTGCAGTTGTATTTAAACAATTACAATTGTCAATTAATTTGTTTAATCAATGATACTTTTCTTGCATTACTTAACTGTATTGTATTCGAACGACATGAAACATTCCTTCTTGAAGTATTCGCAACCTTGTCACCTACATTAACCAGACTTTAGAACAATAAGGTTTAAAGGAATTGTTTAACGTGTATCAAGCTAAAAATCTTAAAGGGACAGTTAACGCAATTTCAAGTGACCATTCATTTATTTAATGTCTTATTCACAATGGTACTATTAAAAGGTTTGTCTAATTACGGATGCATTATATATCCATGTTGCTCTTTTTTAAAACTGAATATGCTTAATTGTGGGTTTCTTTACCAAAGTGAATATTATTCTGTAAAAACATATTTCAGAAATTATCAGAATTAAACACTTTTCATCTAGAAATCCGACAATATTTTCCATATTATTGTTCAGAGCTGAAAACTTTAGAATGGGATATCCTTAATCCCGATCGGTTAATTAATCTGGAGATTAATAACAAGAGGAGAACAAGTATTATTTAATCTGGAGATTAAGAAAAAGAGTGGATCAAGCCTTAATCCCGATATCCACCATTCAAAAGTTCCCAGCTCTGATCAGATCTCTAGACACTTGAAATTTCAAGAACAGTCTCATTCTAGTTTCGATCTAGATTTGCCGTTCAAAATATATTCATTTCTATGTATATATGCAAAAACTTGTTATAATTTTGCTAAACAAATATGAAGTATTCCACTATATACAATGCGTCGAAAAAAAATCGATGATTATCGGTTATAATATCTGAACGATTTGTTTTGAATTAAATTGATCTTTTACGATCCGAGTTGAATATTGCAACTTTCCGAATTTGTATAGACGCTTTGTTCTTCGGTATAAGTAGTTTTTAACCATTTTCTTCTTATAGAAGCAACAGATAGAAGTAAGATTAGTAGCAATCACCATCGAATATTTCTCGACGTAAGCCTATACCCCCTCTCATTTTTCGCGAACACTCCCTTTAAAACAATCTTTTTTGATCACTTTAGCTGCATGAAATGTGGTTTGTTTACATTATCGATATAAAAAGTTTTTTTTTTACATATTTTGTCGGATGCGTGTTGCTTTTTTTGTTAATAATAAATAATTATTATAATTGTCTTGATATTATGATACATATATTCTAATAATTATTAGGATATATAAAAAATCAATAAAATAACTTTTTTCAGGTGTGTTTTACTGACTGTAGCTTCCACAGCAATATTCTGTATAGGCAACTAATCTTGAAATCTTACAAAAATGTTTTTCATTTGAAATAAATGAATGATTTTGTTTTCTTCGATATTAGTTTCACGAGGAAGGATGGAACTGGATTTTTGCCTATTTACTTAACTACGATTTCTGCCAAATAAAAGTTTAAAAATATCACAAGTTTACACCATCAGACTGCAAAGATTTAGAAAGTAGAAAGTAAAGTTTAAGGCAAATGTTAAGTGTTCAGTTTTAGAAGAAAAAAGTCTGTAATGATAATTTTCATCAAAAATGAATAAAATTTTGTTAAAATTAAAGATTACAAATCTGCAGGGTTGGGAGCAGCAATATTCTATTTAATCTACTACCTCGCTTTTGAAATAAGTAAGTATTAAGAATCAGATATCAATGTTTATGGTTTTGAAAACTGATTATTTCCAATTGTGTTTTCTCTACAAAAGTGACTTATACTTTTCTACCGCAGCAAAAACACGTAGAGAATATCAGAATTAAACACTTTTATACCAGAAAACCGACATTTTCTTCCACATTATTGATCAGATAAAGGTTTCAATTGTCGCGCTGTAAACCCGGCATTAACATAATCTTTAAGCTTTACGAGTTACAGAGCCCGTTGCACAATAGTCACTTAAAAGTACTTCTACAATTAAAAATATAAGGTTCAGCCATGAAATTGTTAAGAATCTTTTTTAATGTTGTTCTTTCATTTCTATCGTTTGTGAAAGGAACTTTAAAGGAAAAATGAAAGGGGGAATAGGCCATGAAACCCGAGAATCTCAGGCATTGAACGATACATATAAGACATCTATTTGATGTTCCTGTCTCGAGAAATTGATATAAAACTGTGTCAAAATTATAACAGACTATACATAGATTCAGACCCCCAGTCTATAATAATTTAGTGTTAATGAATCATCCGTTGATTAATTGTCCCAAACTCTAATTCTAAAAAACCTATTAGTCATCTATCTGATTAACAATGAGGAGATATCGTCATTTTTCTTCTGAAATATTTTTCTAAAATTCCTTCTTTGTGTCTGCTGTTCAATCCAGAGGTCTCTTGTATACAAAGACCCAACATTGAAAATAATGAATTTGAAAGAAAAAGAGAGAAAGGTTAAACTTCTTTGTGAATCGGGCATTCTGTAAAAGGGAGGTATCTCAAAATTATTTCAACAAATTATTTTCAAAATCTAGGTTTCTGTCCGTGGACTAAAACTGGAACAGGTTGCTATCAGTATTTCCAGGATAGTAAGGATTGGTTCGATGCACAACAGCTCTGTAGGAAGAGAGGAGGAAGATTAGCAGAACTCTCAGGTTAGTGGACAACCTGGAGATATCTTAGTTTCAGAGATATCTTAGTTCTTCTAGAGATATCTTACTTCTAGAGATATCTTAGTTCTTCTAGAGATATCTTACTTCTAAAGAAATCTTAGTTCTAGAGATATCTTAGTTCTAGAGAAATCTTGGTTCTAGAGATATCTTAGTTCTAGAGATATCTTAGTTCTAGAGATATCTTAGCTCTAGAGAAATCTTAGTTCTAGAGATATCTTAGTTCCAGAGAAATCTTAGTTCTTCTAGAGATATCTTAGTTCTAGAGATATCTTAGTTCTAGAGAAATCTTAGTTCTAGAGATATCTTAGTTCTAGAGATATCTTAGTTTTAGAGATATCTTAGTTCTAGAGAAATCTTAGTTCTAGAGATATCTTAGTTCTAGCTTGATATCTTAGTTCTAGAGATATCTTAGTTCTAGAGATATCTTAGTTCCAGAGATATCTTAGTTCTAGAGATATTTTAGTTCTAGAGATATCCTAGTTCTAGAGATATCTTAGTTCTAGAGATATCTTAGTTCTCGAGATATCTTAGTTCTAGAGATATCTGAGCTCCAGAGATATCTTAGTTCTTCTAGAGATATCTTTATTCTAGAGACATCTTAGTTCTTCTAGAGATATCTTAGTTCTAGAGATATCTTAGTTCTATAGATATCTTAGTTCTAGAGATATCTTTATTTTAGAGATATCTTAGTTCTTCTAGAGATATCTTTATTCTAGAGAAATCTTGGTTCTAGAGATATCTTAGTTCTAGAAATATCTTAGTTCTAGATATATCTTAGTTCTAGTGATATCTTAGTTTCAGAGATTTGTTAGTTCTTCTAGAGATATCTTACTTCTAGAGAAATCTTAGTTCTAGTGATCTCTTAGTTCTAGAGATATCTTAGTTCTAGTGATATCTTAGTCTTAGAGATATCTTAGTTCTAGAGATATCTTATTTCTTCTAGTGATATCTTAGTTTCAGAGATATCTTAGCTCTTCTCTTGGTATCTTAGTTGTAGAGATATCTTAGTACAAGAGATACATTAGTTCTAGATATATGTTAGTTCTAGAGATATGTTAGTTCTAGAGATATGTTAGTTCTAGAGATATGTTAGTTCTAGATATATCTTAGTTCAAGAGATATCTTATTTCTAGAGATATCTTAGTTCTAGACATATCTTAGTTCTTCTAGAGATATCTTAGTGCTCTTAGAGATATCTTAGTTATAGAGGTATCCTAGTTCTAGAGATATCTTTATTCTAGAGATGTCTTAGTTCTGGAGATATCTAAGTTCAAGAGATATCTTAGTTCTACATATATCTTAGATCTAGGGATATCTTAGTTTTAGAGATATTTCATTTCTAGAGATATCTAGGATCTAGAAATATCTTAGTTCTAGAGATATCTTTATTCTAGAGATATCTTTGTAGTAGGGATATCTTAGTTCTATAGATATCTTAGTTTCAGAGATATCTTACATAGTTCTGCAGCTGCTACAGGGTGTCCCAAAAAACATGGGAATTCAGTGACGAATTCGATATCGTCTTTTTAAATAATTCTTAGATTTAGTATGGTGATACCTACTGAGAAAGCTGTAATTTGTAAGAGTTTCGTCTGCTGGGTTCACATTTTGTTTGTTTATGTTTTGACTGCATACGGTTGTACTTAGTAAAACAAAAATATTACAGTATACCACCAGAGTAAACTTGTCAGTCTTCACTGTTCATCTTGCGGAGACATTATAGGCTCATCTTTACAGTCTTTTACCCTTTTCATAAAATAAACTCTAGCAGACATAATAATATTACGGCTTTTGAAATTAGGTATTACAATGCTAATTCATAACAAAGACGATATCGAATTCGTCACTGAATTCCCATGTTTTTTGGGACACCCTGTACCTTAGTTATAGATATATCTTAGTTCAACCAGATATAAAGTTTAGATTTACGAAAGATATATTAGATCTAAATATCCCAGACCTAGAGATATTTTGTCCTTAAACTGTCGAAACTCGTCCTCTATTCTTTTGATAAGCATTGAAGAGTTTAATATTTACACCGTTCTGTAACTTTCCAGAGTTTTGAGATTGCTTACTCCACCCTCTCGTGTTAAACAGAAGAGTTAAAAACACGCGGATTCACTCATTCCCTGCTCATTCTCCCAGGCTACTGCCTTAAGCCATGGAATGTTTACATGGATAATATCCAAATAATTTCTACAGGTGTCGGAGTATAAAATCATTCTCACGGGTTAAGAAGACATTAGATATGGGCATAAACTATCTTTACAGTTTTATTATACTTTTAAGAGGTTCCACATAAATTTACGTTCTGAAGGTTTGCCTAATGCCATTATTCTGCAAAAAAACGAAAAATTGAAGGTTAATATGTTGTTGATTTATATACTTTGTCAGAGTAAAATTTGTGTACTTACTTTTTAATACTTTTGTTTTTGCTTTTTAGGTCTGTTCTTTCTTTGCTTTTTAGGTCTGTTCCTTCTTTGCTTTTTAGGTCTGTTCTTTCTTTGCTTTTTAGGTCTGTTCCTTTCTTTGCTTTTTAGGTCTGTTATTTCTTTGCTTCTTAGGTCTGTTCCTTCTTTGCTTTTTAGGTCTGTTCTTTCTTTGCTTTTTAGGTCTGTTCCTTCTTTGCTTTTTAGGTCTGTTCTTTCTTTGCTTTTTAGGTCTGTTCCTTCTTTGCTTTTTAGATCTGTTCTTTCTTTGCTTTTTAGGTCTGTTCCTTCTTTGCTTTTTATGTCTGTTCTTTCTTTGCTTTTTAGGTCTGTTCCTTCTTTGCTTTTTATGTCTATTCTTTCTTTGCTTTTTAGGTCTGTTCTTTCTTTGCTTTTTAGGTCTGTTCTTTCTTTGTATTTTAGGTCTGTTCTTTCTTTGCTTTTTCGGTCTGTTTTGCATTTTCGGTCTGTTCTTTCTTTGCATTTTAGGTCTGTTCTTTCCCCCTTGTTCTGCATTTTGTTGGTTTTTATCTTTTTGTACTTTCCTGCCTTTCTCTTTTTTGTTTTTTCTCTTTCTTTTACACTTTCTGCTCTTTTCACCCTTTTCTTCTCTTTTTTTCACATTTCCTGTCCTACTCTTCCATTTTCTTTTTCTTCTCTCTACTTCTATTCCCTTTCAAGTTGTTCCTACTTTTTGCAATATCATTCCCCTCAGAGATATCNCTCCCCCCTGACATAGCGTGCCATGTCCTAACCAATCAAGGTTTAGTTTCCCTCTCTCTCCGGGTTCTATATTCATAACTAGAGTATCCTAGTTCCATTACTGGAGTTAATCCTCTCTCCGGGTTCTATATTCATAACTAGAGTAGCCTAGCTCCATTACTGGAGTTAATCCTCTCTCCGGGTTCTATATTCATAACTAGAGTAGCCTAGCTCCATTACTGGAGCTAAACCTCTCTCCGGGTTCAATATTCATAACTAGAGTATCCTAGCTCTACTACTGGAGTTAAACCTCTCTCCGGGTTCAATATTCATAACTAGAGTATCCTAGCTCCATTACTGGAGCTAAACCTCTCTCCGGGTTCTATATTCATAACTAGAGTAGCCTAGCTCCATTACTGGAGCTAAACCTATCTCCAGGTTCAATATTCATAACTTGAGTAGCCTAGTTCCATTACTGGAGCTAAACCGCTCTCCGGGTTCTATATTCATAACTAGAGTAGCCTAACTCTGTTACTGGAGCTAAACCTCTCTCCGGGTTCAATATTCATAACTAGAGTATCCTAGCTCCATTACTGGAGCTAAACCTCTCTCCAGGTTCAATATTCATAACTAGAGTAGTTACCTGTAATATTTAGGCTTAAAAGAGTTTAAGATAAACCATGAATTTGAGTCTTTGCCACAAACTCTGAAGTTTTAATCATGCCATCTTTGAAACCCAATGTCGTAGACCTAGGTTATTTCAAATGTCTGTGAGATCAGATAATCTAAGCTTGAAATATTTGAAATATTTAAGGTGTACACCATCAGGTTGCAAACATATAGAGATTCGAAAATTTGAGTTTGTGGCAAAGACTCAGTTCCTTTGTACGTTTTCATTTTCCTTTAGACCAATCAGCCTCTAAAAAAAAACATGAGATACGCATGTATTACTAATTGATCCATGATTTGATTAAGATAAACCTTAGAAGGTTCATTCTGATTTTCCTCTTTCAGTTTACCCAAACATTTACTTTAAAGGCCCTGAATTAATTTCGACATTTATAACTTGTAATTTCTGAATGCTTAGTTTGTAATATTATTAAAATTCATAGTTTGAAATATCAAAGGCTTAAGACATTTGGTTGCAATGATATACGGATTAGAAAATCAGAGTTTGTGACAAAGACTCAATTTCGTTGTTCAGATTCCAGTTTACTAAAAATCAACAAAACTGTTCAAATTTTTAATATCTCGATCAATTTGAAAGATACAAAGAAGGTAGACCAGTCAATGTCATTTATCAATTATCGGAAATCAAAGACGATATTGAATGCGCCTCGTAATTCCCATGTTTATTCGGACACCCTGTACCTCTGCCTAGGTAGAATGAGTTAAACCTTATAGTTCGTTCAAAAGTTTCCAACTCTACCTATCTAAAGATAAAGTGCTTGATTAAACTTTCATAGTTTTTGTTTGTTTTCCTTGCCAAGTTTTCCTTCAAGGTTTCTCTCCGCGTATTTTTGTTTTAATCCAAACCTTGGAGTAAGAAACAATATAAAGTGGATCACGCAATATTTGTGAATTCTCCCACCTCCCCCTTCAGCTAGAATTAGACCTGGGCATGTTTGTACTTTTCTCCCATCTTCAGCTGGAATTAGACCTGGGCATGTTTGTACTTTTCTCCCATCTTCAGCTGGAATTAGACCTGGGAATGTTTGTAATTTTCTCCCACCTTCAGCTGGAATTAGACCTGGGCATGTTTGTAATTTTCTTCCACCTTCAGCTGGAATTAAGGCTGGGAATGTGAGTACTGTGAATACAGCTGATCACAGCTTGGATCAGCTATGATAAGATATAAAGTGGATCACGCAATATTAGTGAATTCTCCCACCTCCCCCTTCAGCTGGAATTAGACCTGGGCATGTTTGTACTTTTCTCACATCTTCAGCTGGAGTTAGACTTGGGCATGCTTGTAATTTTCTCCCATCTTCAGCTGGAATTAGACCTGGGCATGTTTGTACTTTTCTACCATCTCCAGCTGGAATTAGACTTGGGCATGTTTGTAATTTTCTCCCATCTTCAGCTGGAGTTAGACCTGGGCATGTTTGTACTTTTCTTCCACCTTCAGCTGGAATTAAGGCTGGGAATGTGAGTACTGTGAATACAGCTGATCACAGCTTGGATCAGCTATGATAAGCTGGAATCAGCTGGGATTAGCTGGGATCAGCTATAATTAGCTGGAATCAGCTGGGATTAGCTGGAATCAGCTGGGATTAGCTGGGATTAGCAGGGATCAGCTGTAATTAGCTTGGATCAGCTGTGTTCAACTGGGATTAGCTGGAATCAGCTGGAATTAGCTGTAGCTATGATCAGCTGTGATCAGCTGTAATTAACTGGGATCAGCTGGGATCAGCTGGGATCAGCTGGAAAAAGCTGGGATTAGCTGGGATCAGCTGTAATCAGGTGTAATAAGCGGGATCAGCTGGGATCAGCAGGGGTTAGCTTGGATCAGCTGGGATTAGCTTGGATAAGCTGGGATTAGCTGGGATTAGCTGGGATCAACTGTTTTTGATTCCGATCTATTTTTCTACTTTTCTAGGGTTTGACAAACAGACAGATGTGGTAGCTCTTTATACACGTGGAGGGCACAGTCCTTCATGTTTCTGGATTGGAGGATTCGAGGTAATTAATAATTTAGATATCTACCAATCTAGAAATTATCTATCTATCTATCTAAACATTTTTTTCTTTTCTTTAAGTAATAGATAAAAATCCACTAAAATTGATTATTTCAAAATAATGGATAATCCTACTAAAACGTATTTTCTCCAAACTAAGAAATCAAGTTAAGGAGAAATTACCGGATACTGTTCGTGGGTGCCTGTCTATTTGTTTTGATGTCCAATCATAACTCACAAACCCCGAAACCGATTTGCCACAAATTTGATTATGGGACTCAGTAGAACCACGGGAATGTTCTAAGCTTGGTTTAAAAAGTCTAAGTTGAGTGGGTTGGGTTGGGTTAGGGAAAACGTTGACTTGAATTTCAGGAAAATTCTCCTGACTTTGATAGAAGTTCTTACGTTTTTTTGATGATTATTGAGGGTGAATGATTTGTGACTTTTTTTAGAAATCAGCCAACCGCCCACCGGAAGTCGCTGCGTTTATACTTTTAAAAAATATTGTAATAAAAAATTTAAAATCGTTCATAGGGTTGCGAATTGACGATTTAATAAATTGGAGAAATCGCCTTAAGGCATAACCAAAAATATTTTTTAAAAAAAGTAAACATTATACATCATTTTCTTGGAAATTTCATGCTGAATTTCAATTCCAATATTGATCACCCCTAATGATTACCTTTTTTTAAATAGTTTCGCACATGTATAGTTTTGAACAAGTACTGGAGATTTTCTAACTTTTGTGGAGGTGTTTTATCTATCTCTTACAGAAATATAAAAAAACTCAATCAATCTATCTATCTATCTAGTCTGACCCTGATGAGATGCTGTATACCTGGAATATATCTGGCACAGTGATGAATCAGTATTATATTGAGTGGGAGTCAGGGTACCCTAAAAACAGGTAATTATGATAATAATAATAATAATTAGGAGTGAAGCTACTTGCGTTGATTTCTGTCACCCAGACTTCAGTTGGAAGAACAAGCGCTGCAGCTTGAAACAAAGTTATCTTTGTGAATTTGGATAAAATCGTAAAGTTCTATTAAAGAGACTTTTTACTTTGTTTGACAGAGCCTAATATTTATTTTGATAAAAACCCAATATGTTTTTTTTATTATCAAAGCTAAAAGAAACAACATTTTTATTTTAATTTACTTTTGATGTTTTAAATGGGACTGTTTAGGAACACTTATTTTTGTAACTAGGATTAATGCCTTAGATCAGCCAAGGTTATAATGCAAGGAAAGTTAATTGCGGTCGCGTATACTCTGCGTATACACGTGTTTGTCTAGTATCCGAGGAGGATAAAAGCATTTAATTTTGATAATTTTGAAAATTCACATAATAGTTTCCTATGACCAGAATATTTCATAGATTATTCTTGTAAAAATGGATTCCATGTCAGGCTGTGACATCCGTCTTGTGTTTACTTTTCCGCCCAAAGACAGTACACTTCAGTACAAAAAATGCGTACACCTCTGAAATAACTTGTCTTGCATTAGTACCTTGAGATCAACCTTTTAATGATAGAACATAAATCCCTGCACACAATTTTCTTATCTTGATATTTTTGCAATTTGATGTCGTCATACCTCATTGTTGTTTTAAACTAGGAATCTTTTATTATATCACACAGTCACAGTTTTAAATATCAAAGGTTTACACCATAGATTAATTAAAATAACAGATAGACAATAGATGTCGCCTTTTATTGGATGAAAGACAGAGAGAGTCTTTTCTACGCAGACTGTGCGAAACTCCTCTCAGCTTCTGTCTCAGAATTATTGTAAACGAGTTTCATCCAACTCTTGAAAAGACGAGATCTAGTGTCCTATCTGTTATTTTAATTGATCTATGGTTTACACCGTCAGGATGCAAAGAAAGATTAGATTTGGAAGCTAGTGATCACTAATCAGTTAATTTTATCAAAACAATTTAATTTGTGACGTTAAGGCAATTTGAAAAGTCTCTTTAAAAGATCCAGTTCTCTCTCTTTAGAAAATTATTTTTTATGATTTTGAATGACATGATAAAGGCATAAATTCAATTCACCCTCCATTTGATTGACATGTCCAATTCTTAGTGGCACCCTGAAAGCCTGATCAAGTATGAATTAGATATCATTGTTTTGTTTTTGGAAATAGCTTATTTCCATTTGTAGTTTTTCTCAACAATGTACATTTCTTGCTTCAGAAACAAAGAAGAAATTATCAGAATTATCTTCCACATCGTTGAGATTAAGGCTTTATTTAAGGTTCCTGTTGAGAATCGGGCATGCCCATCTCTAGATGAAGGGCAAAAAGGACAAAAATTACAAGGATGCCCGTTAAATATAAATATAAAATTCAAGTTGAAGGGGGGAGGGGGAGGGGTAGGATCACAATAAAATCCTTCTGTAAAACATAAAATGTGAATATACTCTAAGAAGAATAATTAGCTTCAAAATGTTGTAAATAGAAAATGTTTAATAGTTAATAAACAAATAAATAAACTTTACTTTCTGTTTTTCCTGTTATATGATTTAGATATGAGATACAGAGCGTCCCATATCATATTAGATTATCTCCAATCTTTAACGCTAAAATACGCAAATACTACTCAAAAAATCTAGCATTTTCTGCAAAAAAAATTCTATTAGCCTTATTAAATTTTACATTACATTACATTACATTACATTACATTACATTATATTACATAACATAACATTACATTACATAATATTACATTATATTACATTTACATTTACATTATATTACATTACATTACATTACATTACATTTACATTACATTTACATTACATTTACATTACATTACATTTACATTACTTTCACAATACATTACATTACATTAAATTACATTACATTACATTACATTACATTACATTTCATTACATTACATTTCATTACATTTACAGTTACATTTATATTACATTACATTACGTTACATTACATTACATTACATTACATTACATCTCATTACATTACATTACATTACATTACATTATATTACATTTACATTACATTGCATTACATTACATTGCATTACATTACATTGCATTACATTACATTTCATTACATTACATTACATTACTTTACATTACATTACATTACATTACATTACATTGCCTTACATTACATTACATAACATAACATTACATTACATTATATTACATTTACATTACATTATATTATATTACATTTACATTCATTTACATTACGTAACATTAAATTACAATATATTTCATTCCATCTATTTATATACTTTGCTTGTCTGTCCGTATGTCTGGGTGTTTTTTTTGTTTGTTTTTTGTATCCAATAAACGTCAAAATGGCGGAACCGATCGGGGTCAAATTTGTTACGGGACCTCACGGGACCCCAGGAAAGGTTTATGGATGATCGAATTTTCAAAAATTTGCCTCTAACAAAAATTAAAAATTTTTGAAAATCCACGTTTTTTCAATAAAATCTGCGAAATTTGTTGTTTGTCTTTGTTTTACAATGTATTCAAAGAGAAAATGTTCATAATTGAAATAGAAGATACATTACCAATTCTTCGATCCTATTCTTTCTCCGGAAGTTTTTAAAAGTCGTCGTAAATTTAGTATTTATCATGTTCATTCAAAATGCAAAATTCCAACTGTACAAGAAAACTCAGACTAATTAACATTTAATCTCTTTACGTCATTTAGGTCAATTTTTTTCAATAAAGCATTGAAAAATAGTTTGCAATAAATTTTTAATTCTATAATACAGTGAGACTAAATAAGTTCCCAGCGAAAGCAAACTTTTGCGCAAAAATGCACACTTGCGCGCAAATTTGTTTGCGTATTTCGCAAACTTTTGCACAAAATTCCGCAATTTTGCGGAAACGATGGCAATTCCGCCCAACTATAGGTTCACATAATCCAGACTGGACAAACACCAGGCTCGAATATATTCAGAAGACGACATTCTATAAGTCCATTGAAGCCAAGAGGATACATATTTGTACAATTTAGATACATTAGTACCCCTTTCAATACAAGTTTGTGTCATTTTTTAACGTAAATGTTTACAATATTCTGTTTTGTTTACTATTACCATCAGTAAAGTTGTACAATGTACATTAAACATGCAATTAGTTTCTTGTTATTCTTTGTGATTATATATATCCTAGGCTTTTAGGGCGCTTTGCGCCCATCTTCTATTTTAATTGTGAACATGTTACAGATTCATAACCCAGACTATTAGCTTAACATAGCCTGATAAATATATTTAACTCTGAACAGCTAGTTATAGTTACCTATCTTAGCATAGATAGGCAAGGATATATAATTCTGCATAGCTAAACCCAATACATAGCTCCGCAAAGCTAAATAAGATAGCTTCATATAGTTAAGCAAGACAAATAGCTTAGTAACGCTTAGTAACCAATTCTAGATAGTTCGCAATTATATTAATAGCTAAGTAACTAAAATACTAAAGCTTTATTATAAATAACGATGGATTAGAGTTTGTGGCATTGTTTATCTCTGATCTCAAGCGAGATAATCAATGCACGCTAAATAAAACAAATAGCTCCGTAAAGCTACATAAAGGATACTAACTCTTTATGACTAAAAAGATAAATAAGTATTTATTATCTAAGTATATTAAAAGCTAGAAATATCTCTAACAATACCAGAGAGGTTACTTTAGCTTTAATGGAGATTACGACCATCTTACCCCCAGAGGGTGACCCCGAAGACCATGGGGTTGAAGTTCCTGTCATGCCTGTTGCTGGTGTGTCTGAGGGCGGAGGTGGAACTGTTGACTCACATGTCCTTGCTGACGCTGAGAAGGGCGGAAATCCTGCAGTCCTTTGATACAGAGGTGGATCTGAGTGCTGAATACTAATCTCCTAAAAAATATAGAATTAGTAAACTTAGATTAATAAATATGAACTAAGAGAGTTAATTATTGCGTTAAATCCTGCTGTAGACCAAATTAAACTCGGGGTTTACAACATCTCACACTTTTTCGTGCAATATTTGTGCATTTTATTTTCGCAAATTATGCACATTTTTTCGTATCTTGTTTGCGTGGAATTTAGGCATTTTTGCTCAGAATTTGCGGAATTTTGCGGTTTTATTCTTTGCAAGGAACTTGGAAAAATCAAGTATATCTTAAACCCTCCCCCTCTCCGGCCATTTCAACCAAAAAAAAATCCTTTGGAATTTAAGTGTTTTTTTTTCGATTTTCTGAGAAAAAAAAGAATAAAATTGGGACTATAAGAGCATAATTTCAACTGATCCTCCTTGCAAGATGGAAAATCCCGATTCACAAAGGTACACTTGAAACCTTCAGCTGATCAATAATGTGGAAGATATTATTGATTTTCTAGGTTTTAAAGTGTTAAATTCTGATAATTCATGATTTGTTTTCCTGCATTAGAAATATCACTTTTGTAAAGAAACCACAATAGAAAATAATCACTTTAAAAAAAGGGAACATTGATATCCAATTTATACTCGATTAAACAAAGATGCAAGGGGTACCATTGTGAATCAGGAATTTCCAGCTATGCATGGAGGGTTGGCTTTCCAACGAAACTTTTGTTAACCAAAATTCGTAAAATTCTCGCGATATTGACAAACAAAATTCGTGAAATTTTCGCGATAGTGAAGATTGAAATTTGTCGAAGTTTGGTGCATTTTCGCGAAAATTTCAATATCGACAAAGATTTTCGAAAAAAAATTTGTTTTATTTCATTTCTCATCAAGCATAATAAATGATATCTGACGGAGTGCAGCTGGTATGTCTACGTAATGTACAGGGTGTCACAAAAAACATGGGAATTCAGTGACGAATTCAATATCGTCATAGGCGGTTTCAGGATTCAAGACAGGGGGGTAAAAAAAATTTTTCTTTTTACCCCCTCTTATATTGATTTTACCCCCTCCCTGTAATGTTATTAAACAAATTAAAAGCTAAAAAGTTCTAAAAAGTCACAAATATGTATAAGCCTGTTTTTGGAGTCAAAATTATGACTAAGACACTTTGTAAGTCTCAAATTAGAAGTCACAATAATTTCTAAGTCACATTTTTCTTGTTCAATTTAAGAGTTTGATAATGTTCAAGACAGATTCTAAGTCACAACTCTAAGTCACGATGTTTGTTGCTTAGTCAAAAAGAACGATAAAGTAAGCATTCCATATCATTGTTTTTTGTGTTAAGAAAAGATTTAAATTTCCCTTAATATTTTTTTATAGTACTGCCTTAGAAAAGTGACTTAGAGTCCATTAAATTCTAATTTACTATTTCCAGCAAACTGTTTGGCAGTTTGGATATCCTGAGCCATATTGTCCCAAAAAGGATGGGGGTAATACATCTTCTTCCTCTCTTGCCAAAACTTGCCCTTTCTGGAGTTTTTCTTAAAAGCATCAAAAATAATTTTTGACCAGAAAAATGAAGGATTTCCTACATCTTGTTTTACAACCGAATGAGGAAATATTTGTGGTCCTAAATCCATCTGGAAAGGACAGGGAAAAGCAATGCTTCCTAATTCTTAGTTTATTAGTCTTAGTCATAATTTGACTGGAACGTTAATATTTTCTCAAAATAAAGTAAGTAAGGCATCAAATTTGATTGCTTGTTACTTTTGATGCTTTCAAATGTTGATTTTGATGCTTTCAAATTACACTTTTGATACTTTACTACAGGGCCAAAGCATCCAATGTATTGAAATTGAAAGACATATTTTTAATGAGAAATGATTTGTAAAAATCAACTAACTTCACGCAGGGGGGGGGGGTGGACTGCCAGCCCCCACCCCATGAAACCGCCTATGGATATTGTCTTGTTATGAATTAGCAATTCCACAAGGTGACATGGAAACGCCTCAACACGGAATCGGATCAAAAATACGCGGAAACCCCTCAAGTAGGTTTTTTTTTGAGGCATTTCCGCGCTTTCTTCAAATTTTTCGGAAATCCCTCTAAATTCAAATTTTGAGGAGTTTCCTCTTTTTTTTGATCGATTTAGTATATCCGTTTCCGCTTTATTTTATTCAAATATTTTCGAGGGATTTCCCAATATTTTTGAGGGGATTCCCAATATTTTTGTTCCGTTTCCTCATTTTTTTTGATCCGTTTCCTCTTTTTTCAAAAATTTTTAAATTGATATGTTTCCTAATATTTTTGATCGGTTTCCTCAAATTTTAGGTCCGTTTCCTCATATTTTTGATCCGTTTCCGCTTTTTTCAAAAACTTTAAAATTCTCATTTTGTTGATCGGTTTCCTCAAATTTTAGGTCCGTTTACTCATATTTTTGATCCGTTTCCGCTTTTTTCAAAAACTTTAAAAATCTCAAATTATTGAAACGCACCAAATAGGTTAATTATTTTTAAGGGAACCTATGGGTATCCCGGGAGGAGCATCGGCTAAAAAAATAGATTTTTAAAGAAATTTAAGTTTTCTTAAAATTTCGTTTTTTTTAATTGCATGGGCAACGCCTGGCACTTCAGCTAGAATTAAAATCTGGCAAAGAAAGAAACACACAATTTTACAGCTACAGGGAACCCTGAATGTATATATTTTGCTGAATGCTATACAATCTTCATTTTTTTTTAAATCTTTATTCTACAGAGCGTCCCATATCATATTAGATTATCTCCAAGTTTTAACGCCAAAATAAAACCATTATACTTGAAAAAACTATAAGTATTTTCCGCAAGAAAATTTTTATATTAGCCTTATTCAATTTTTTAAATGATTCATTCTTTTCTGATTTTCTTATTAGTCCCGAAAATCGTAATTTAAACCGGTTGACGATCTAATATGATGTGGGACACCCTGTATGTGATTTTAAAATGTTTTACAGATTACACAATAAGATAATAAAGTATGCTTTTCTATGAAGTCATGAACTTTTGTAAATGATTTTTGATTAATAAATGAACCCTTGTGTTTGTATCATGGTTCGATACATACATACATGTGTCCCTGCATTTTTACAGTGAGACCCAGAAAACTGTGAAATTATAGGAAGACGACTTTTAGACTCAAGTTTTGACTTTAGTTCGATGAACATAAAACACAACAATGGTACAGTGTGCACTGATCATTTCACTTTTTTTGTTTTAGGCTACTGAAAGTAAGGCCATTTGTGTTGTAATAACATCTAATACACTTAAATATTGCTTTAATGTCGTCTTTCTGGTCTTCCCTGTAGAGAATTGTATTTTTAATCCTTAAAAAAACATTAGTTCGAAAAATTTATTTTAAAATATATAGAATGTATATCGTTTAATGAACGTATACAGAGTGTCCCAATAAACATGGGAATTCAGTGACGAATTCGATATAGTCTTTGTTATGAATTAGCAGTGTAATTCCTAACTTCTAAAACCATAATATTTTTATGTCTGCTAAAGTTTATTTAGTGAAAACGGTAAATGACTGTAAAGATGTGTCTATAATGTCTCCACAAGATGAAAAGTGAAGACGGACTAGTTTACTGTAATTTTCTTGTTTTACTAAGTACAACCGTATGCATGGTCAAAACATTAACAAACAAATAAAAAACATAACAGAATTCGTCACTGAATTCCCATGTTTATTGGGACATCCTGTATGAAATCGGTATTTTTTTATATTTATCAAATATTTTTTTTAATAGCTGTAGAAATTACGCAGATAAGACAAAAGGTATTATTTACTTAAAGGTCATACACTTTTGTTTATGTTTTTTGATCTTGATACATGCTCATTTAAACTCTTTTTCGTGTATCAAGCAATATATGGTACCTACTGTGAAAGGTTTAAACAAATTAGTACACATATTTAGTCTTTTCTATGGAATCAGTGATACATTATTTCATCAATATTTTATAAAGATGTTACAGTGAGAACCACAAAACTGTGGAACAGGAAGACAACTTTAAGACTAATTGTGCAGTGTGCACAGACCCATTTCACATAACAACTGATTTTTAAGGTTTTTGTAAAACCATTTGCTTTATAACAATTCAATACATATGCAGACAATTGCTGTCGTCTTAATATTCCACAGTTTTAAGGGTCTCACTGTAGTTTATATCTTTAATATTTCAAGTAGTATTATTTGTTAGTTTTTTGAACTGGAGGATTTAAAGAAATTCTCATCAAAAATTAGACCAGAACTGAAAATTACGAATTTTTTGATTACTATTTTGCAAATTTTCTGTGATTCTGTGATTCAATCTTAATAAAATTCTAGAAGTTGATAGAAATAATATTTTTGCTTTTCTGAACCTTTGATTTTGCGAGATAAAAAAGGTTCACTGAACTTTTTTAACCATTCGATTACAAAAAAAATATAAAATTTTAAAAAGTCCCCCCCCCCCCCGAATTCTTATACAATTATACAATTTATTCCCTGATCCGTGCAGGGGCAAATCTGTAGTTTTAGCATTATGATAGTGGAATCTAGCTTCTATGTTTATAGTTTTCTTTGTATTTCAAGATGAAAGACGACTTTTTTTAATCGTCTATAATCAACAATATTTTTTAGTGACACTCACACTATATTTCAAAATAAGAATTGATTAAATAGTATAAATTAGGGGGGGGGGGGGCTAAAAACAGCTTCATTGAAATAATTTAATTAAACTAAGAGTTCTCTTTGTTATTATAAGAATTTGGTATATTATTGAGCGCAGAGCAAACCCTTCACCGATTAAAAAATGCCGTTTTTTAACTTCAAATTTTCAAATTCAGAAAATACTCTCGGTATTCCCGTGTGGATACCAAAAAAAGATGATTTAAAAGTTTTTGAATAAGAGGAAATGGATCAAAAATATGAGGAAACGGACCTAAAATTTGAGGAAACCAATCAACAAATTGAA